TGGAATACCACCCAGTGAAGCACGAGAAGATAGACAACTGAAAAACTCTTAGAGATTTACAACAAAATATGTGATAGAAATAAGAAAAACAAAGAATTGAAAACATAATATTCAGAGAAGATATGATCACAACGTCACACATACCAAATGAACGAGAAAAGGTTGACTGAGAGTCTTTTTCAAATGAGTGATAGAGGGGCGGGGCGCAGGCGGAGGCTAGCAGGGTAAGCAGAGGACGCCCAGTGCGAGAAGAGTATGGTGATGTCATCTTCATCCACCGATACACGAACATGGAGGTGCAAGGCAAGGGAAGAAGGTGGGAGACCCGTGTCCTCCAACACCATTACTCCAAGGACAACCTCAACACTCCATAAATCCTCCCCTTCCTCACTCTCACTCACAACCACCCCTTGCCCTTGTACTCAACACAAACCCCACTTCCCTTCCCCTTCCCCTTCCCTACCTGCCTTTCTCCCCAAACTTCATCCCCAAATCCCAAATACTGTGTTGTTGTTGATTTAGATTCAGCAACTGGGAACAAAAAGTTGCAAGTAGTACGGGCTATGGTAAACCCGTAGTGGCCTTACCTGGCACAGGACCAGGGCTGTAACTGACCCCCCCCACCCCCACATACCATAGTAAATCAAAACCAATCTGCCTGATTACAACTTCTCTCCAACAGTAAAAACAAGACGACTGAAATCAAAGAACGGACACACGAAGAGAACCTGGGAGTAATTGCACTCACATAAACTAATCTGTCAGGAGTCATAACTAATGTATTGTCCCTCAAGGTTACCACGCTGCAAGAAAGATGTGGGAGGGGAAGTGGCCCCTGTTGATCAGAGACGACTGGTCACTGAGGAGCTTTCAATTCCATGGATGTGCAGGAGACAATGACTATATAACATGAATACAAGAACAGGAAGGCGTAAGGTCATAGTAGCATACAAACCTCCACACAGTGAAAGAAGACCCAGGAGAACTACCAAAGAGTTGGGAGTTATAACTGGATACAGACAGGAGGCACTAAACTAAAGGCTTATGTCCCTTACCTACATATCATGCAAGATAATGACAACAGTGATCAGCGGCTGGCAGAGCGTCTCAAGAGATTCTTTATAACACAACACCAGCATGTGTTCAGGGATGGCATCCTGCCTCATAAACTTGATAAATGTTTCATGGTCGAGCAACCGAGATCTGAACACAGAGAAGGGTGAGTATATTGTTCATTTTTATACTGACAAAAATTCTTTGACACATTACCCATAAAAGACAGGTACACAACATATGGAAGCAGACAGGAGTGACAAGGAAGGAGCTCCAGAGGATAAAGCGGTAAGTCTGTAACAGAGGAGACACAGTGAGAGACCTCACAGTAAAAGAATGTTACCAGTGGCATACCACAGGGGTCAGTATTAGGGCCAACCCTATTCGTAATCTACGATAAAAACTTGCCAGACGGGATAGATCCATTCCTCTCCATGTTTGCTTATGATGCAAAAAATATTAGGAGGCTAAATACGACGGAAGACTGCAACAAGCAACATGAAGACCTGGACTAAATGAATGAAAAGTGTAGCAAGCTGTACAGCAAGTATAAAATAGTGAAGCTGGCTGCTGGGATCAAGTGGACGGAAAAAAATGTATATAATGCATGAGGAAACCCTTCAAGATTTAAACAAATCAAAAGACTTTATTTTAAACCTAAATTGTCAGCAAAAGGCGACATCATACAAATATTACCAGTTGCACATGCAATGTTGGTCGAAATAAGAACGCCTTTATGAGCCTAAAATGTCATTCAAGACCTTGTATCCCACACGTCTGGTCAACTTTGCAATATGCAGCACCAGCATGGAGTCCTTATCTCATTATAAGCACAGAACAAAACTGGACAAATTGTAGACGTATACCACCAGACTAGTCCCAGAGCTTGTAGTTACCAATGATGACAAAATATTAAACATCTTGTGGAAGATCAAAGCAACGGGGCAGACATGATCACTACAATATTCTCAGTGGAGCAGACAGCTCAGACACAGGCAGACTATTTAGTGTGGGTTGTACACAAAATTAGAGACAAAGATGGAAACTAAGTAATGTAGAACTCTGCTAAGTTCAGTAGAACTTCGGTTTCAACCCATTTACCCTGTCGTAGCTCAGTCAGTGTCTGGGATGCTCCAGAACGCAGGTTCGAATCCTCGTCACGGCCCTTGTGGATTTGTTCATTTGATGCATCACGTTAGTGTGATCTCTGTGTGTAATGGAAACTAAGTACCCCCATGAGCCACGAAGACATTGGAAATATATTTTTCATTGTCATGAATAGTGAAAACAGGAATGCACTGAGAGTGAAGTGATGGAGGCAGATTCCGTACACAACTTCAAAGGTAAACATGTCGGAGTTCGACCATCTCTTGAATCTATTTCACTAATGAATTATACGTTGAGAAGCGGGACCAAAGAGTTGTAGCTCATCCTTCGCGAGTACAGCTAGGTGAGTACACACAGGGGCGCGAGCAAGCACACACACACACACACACACACACACACACACACACACACGCGCGAGCAAGCACACACACTTTCCTCTGCGTGTCAATGACTTGAAGCAAACTATCACTCTCGCACTCCTCTCTCCTCTAGTTGAATGCTCTCATAAAAGCTCTCTATAGCGTCATAACACCCACCAACCCAACATTCATATCAAGAGTTTCCTTAGTTACCAATCTTATTCTTATTCTTATTCTTATTATTATAACTGTTAGTATTACTATTACACACACACAAATCACAATTGCGTGATGCATCAAATGAACAAATCCACAAGGGCCGTGACGAGGATTCGAACCTGCGTCCGAGAGCATCCCAGACGCTGCCTTATTACTATTATTGTTAATGTTAATGAAAGCCTCAGTGAATTTTCTCGCTGATATATATTACGTTACTGTGATTTTTCTGTGTGTTATTATTATTATTATTATTATTATTATTATTATTATTATTATTATTATTTAGGATAAAAACCTACACTTGTGTATATGTGAAATTTATGTAAGAAATTTACACCAAGTCTTTCGCACTCTCCTGAGTGCTTTATCAAAGTTTGAGAGTAAGATTAAGACGAGACTTACATCTCAGCCTCTACTCTACTTACAACTTAATTGAGACTTACATCTACTTACGACTTAATTGAGACTTAGATGTAAGTCTCTTCCTAATCACACTCTCAGACCTTGATAAAGCACTCAGGAGACTGCGAAAGACATGGTGTAAATTCCTTACATAAATTTCACATATACGCAAGTGCGGGGTTTTATCCTCTGTTGTTATATGTGTGAGAAGACATTATCATATTACTAATTATTATTATTTGAAGCATTAGAAGTAGAGCATTAGTATGTTAACACTAATAGTAGCAACAGTGATCACCAATTGCAATTTAAAATAGTAATTAGTGGTTGTGGCAGCAGCAATATTACAAGGCCAGTACAAGGAGCAGCAGCATCAACTTGTAGCCTCAGCAGTACCTGTGGGTACACAAGCGCCAGCTACCACAATTAGCACCAGTAACAGCAGTCTCAGCAGCAGCAGCAGCAGAAGAAACAACCTCAAAAGTAGCAGCAGCAGAAGCAGTAGGCACAAATAGTAAGTACAAGCAGGAAATGCACACACACACACACACACACACACACACACACACACACACACACACACACACACACACACACACACACACACACACACACACACACAACAGCCAATAATTCAACACGTAGAGATGCTCATAATTTTTGCATCATCAGCAAACATTGAACGAGTATATTCCCTTTGGGAGATCATTTATATATATCAGAACTAGTATATAGGTCCAAGGACGGAACCCTGTGGGACTCCACTGATGACACTGCCAATCTGAGACCTCGCCTCCCTCACAGTGACTCGCTGTCTTCTGTTGCTTAGGTACGCCCTTATCCAATGGAGTACCTTCCCTTTCCCCCCAGCCTGCATCTCCAGCTTGTATACTAGTCTCTTGTGTGGTATTGTGCTAGACTTCCTTGTAATCCAAAAATACGCAGTCAGCCCACCCCTCTCTTTCTTGCCTGATTTTTGTTGCCTGGTCCAAGAATTCAGTTAATCCTGTGAGGCAGGATTTGCCTTCTCTGAACCCATGTTGATGCTGTGTTACAAAGTTCTTTCGCTCCAAATGTTCCACTAGCTTTTTTCGCACAATCTTTTCCATCAATTTGCATGGTATGCAAGTTAGGGACACCGGCCTGTAGTTTAGTGCCTCCTGCCATCCCCCTTTTTGTATATCGGGTCTATATTAGCAGTCTTCCATATTTTTGGCAGCTCCCCCTGTTACCAGTAATTTTCTAAACACAATGGAGAGTGGCAGGGAGGTGGAGGTGGGGTCCCTTGATTGTTTCAAACGTGGGTTGAACATGTATATGAGTGGGATTGGATGGTAATAAATTGGAGGTGCCTCGTAAGGCAATAGGCCCTCTGCAGTTCGTATTTTTTTATGTTATTCAATGACTACGAGGGTGTGGCGGTACTGTGACTCCTGCCGGCAGTGTACCACGGAGAGTAGCAGGGAAACCACCTATCCTGAGTGACCATGATGGTAGTTACTGTTCCTGGCAGATAACATCGGTATAGTCTGAAGGTATTGTTTTCTGGTCTACTTTGCTCAAGCACTTTCACGCATGCATTCTCTCTCTTTCTCTCCCTTCTCGTATTGATTTCACCCTACGACCCCTATTCTAAACACTCTTCATTTTATTCCTCTCCCTCGCTCTTCCCACACACCTGATACACCCGGGACATGGAAGTCATACAGAAGCCAAGCACAGTTAAGCTTCTCATGAAGTATATCACAACAGACTGGACACTTCCTCACACCCACTGACATTTAAGCTTTGTGTAAAACTAAAATAAGACCATAACACGTGTTAAAGTCTGTGCCAAGGAGGTTGCCGCGATGTGGACAATTAATTTCCACGCCCGTGGAAACCCAGATGTGTCCCGTGACCACTGTTGCCAGATGTGTCCCGTGACCACTGTTGCCAGATGTGTCCTGTGACCACTGTTGCCAGATGTGTCCCGTGACCACTGTTGCCAGATGTGTCCCGTGACCACTGTTGCCAGATGTGTCCCGTGACCACTGTTGCCAGATGTGTCCCGTGACCACTGTTGCCAGATGTGTCCTGTGACCACTGTTGCCAGATGTGTCCTGTGACCACTGTTGCCAGATGTGTCCTGTGACCACTGTTGCCAGATGTGTCCTGTGACCACTGTTGCCAGATGTGTACTGTGACCACTGTTGCCAGATGTGTCCCGTGACCACTGTTGCCAGATGTGTCCTGTGACCACTGTTGCCAGATGTGTCCCGTGACCACTGTTGCCAGATGTGTCCCCGTTGACCACTGTTGCCAGATGTGTCCCGTGACCACTGTTGCCAGATGTGTCCCGTGACCACTGTTGCCAGATGTGTCCCGTGACCACTGTTGCCAGATGTGTCCCGTGACCACTGTTGCCAGATGTGTCCCCGTTGACCACTGTTGCCAGATGTGTCCCCGTTGACCACTGTTGCCAGATGTGTCCCCGTTGACCACTGTTGCCAGATGTGTCCCCGTTGACCACTGTTGCCAGATGTGTCCCCGTTGACCACTGTTGCCAGATGTGTCCCCGTTGACCACTGTTGCCAGATGTGTCCCCGTTGACCACTGTTGCCAGATGTGTCCCCGTTGACCTGTTGCCAGATGTGTCCCGTGACCACTGTTGCCAGATGTGTCCCCGTTGACCACTGTTGCCAGATGTGTCCCGTAACCACTGTTGCCAGATGTGTCCCCGTTGACCACTGTTGCCAGATGTGTCCCGTGACCACTGTTGCCAGATGTGTCCCCGTTGACCACTGTTGCCAGATGTGTCCCGTGACCACTGTTGCCAGATGTGTCCCCGTTGACCACTGTTGCCAGATGTGTCCCGTGACCACTGTTGCCAGATGTGTCCCCGTGACCACTGTTGCCAGATGTGTCCCCGTGACCACTGTTGCCATATGTGTCCCCGTGACCACTGTTGCCAGATGTGTCCCCGTGACCACTGTTGCCAGATGTGTCCCCGTGACCACTGTTGCCAGATGTGTCCCCGTTGACCACTGTTGCCAGATGTGTCCCCGTGACCACTGTTGCCAGATGTGTCCCCGTTGACCACTGTTGCCAGATGTGTCCCCGTGACCACTGTTGCCAGATCAGACGATGGAGCCACTTGTCCAACCAGAGCTGATATGTCAAGTGAACAAAATAAAGACAATAAGTATTTGTATGCGTTGTTAATGGTCGCCTGTGAGGAAGAGGCTGTGTCGCCTGGAGGTATACCTTACCTCCATAAGCCGGTATAGGCTTGGTATACCTTACCTCCATACTAAGGTATACCAAGACCTTAGTATGGAGGTCTTGTCATACTAAATAAGTTTACCCTCTTCCCTTATGACAAGTGATGAAGCTGCTTCAAGACTGCGGTACTGATGAGTACGTATTACTACGTATTAGGCTGTATACGGCCTAATAGAGTACGTATTAGGCCTGGGGAGCCTAATAGAGTACGTATTAGGCCTGGGGAGCCTAACAGAGTACGTATTAGGCCTGGGGAGCCTAATAGAGTACGAATTAGGCCTGGGGAGCCTAATACAGTACGTATTAGGCCTGGGGAGCCTAATATCACGAAATAAGCAATCTGACTGCTGTTTACTACTCGCGTACGTTTAGATCTTCCTGGGGGAAAAAGTTGTCCTCCTACGGACAAAATAAGCAGTGTGTGAGAGGGTAGGAGGTGTCTCCAGCATACAGTGTGGCATGTGTGATAACACAGTTGACACGGGATGGCCAGAATTATCTTCACACTCGACACTTCGAGAGGGGGAACGTCCTGGATTTGTTACAACAGGACAATGAGCTAAAAAAAAAGTCCCAGCTGTGTGAGAGTACAAGTGACAGGATGAACAACCCAGCGGGTTTTCTTCCTATTGGGGAGTGTTGTACATGCTGCTATGGCGGTGTGTCCACTCACAGGATGAGTGGCGCTGCCCAATACTCTCACTATGGCGGTGTGTCCACTCACAGGATGAGTGGCGCTGCCCAATACTGCCACTATGGGGGTGTGTCCACTCACAGGATGAGTGGCGCTGCCCAATACTGTCACTATGGCGGTGTGTCCACTCACAGGATGAGTGGCGCTGCCCAATACTGTCACTATGGCGGTGTGTCCACTCACAGGATGAGTGGCGCTGCCCAATACTGTCACTATGTCGGTGTGTCCACTCACAGGATGAGTGGCGCTGCCCAATACTCTCACTATGGCGGTGTGTCCACTCACAGGATGAGTGGCGCTGCCCAATACTGCCACTATGGGGGTGTGTCCACTTACAGGATGAGTGGCGCTGCCCAATACTGTCACTATGGCGGTGTGTCCACTCACAGAATGAGTGGCGCTGCCCAATACTGCCACTATGGGGGTGTGTCCACTCACAGGATGAGTGGCGCTGCCCAATACTGCCACTATGGGGGTGTGTCCACTCACAGGATGAGTGGCGCTGCCCAATACTGCCACTATGGGGGTGTGTCCACTCACAGGATGAGTGGCGCTGCCCAATACTCTCACTATGGCGGTGTGTCCACTCACAGGATGAGTGGCGCTGCCCAATACTCTCACTATGGCGGTGTGTCCACTCACAGGATGAGTGGCGCTGCCCAATACTGGCACTATGGGGTGTGTTCACTCACAGGATGAGTGGCGCTGCCCAATACTCTCACTATGGCGGTGTGTCCACTCACAGGATGAGTGGCGCTGCCCAATACTGCCACTATGGGGGTGTGTCCACTCACAGGATGAGTGACGCTGCCCAATACTGTCACTATGGCGGTGTGTCCACTCACAGGATGAGTGACGCTGCCCAATACTGTCACTATGGCGGTGTGTCCACTCACAGGATGAGTGACGCTGCCCAATACTCTCGCTATGGCGGTGTGTCCACTCACAGGATGAGTGGCGCTGCCCAATACTGTCACTATGGCGGTGTGTCCACTCACAGGATGAGTGGCGCTGCCCAATAAATTCGCCCTTAGGGATAAAATTTATTGTTGTACATAAACAGCCAGTTAGACGCTAGTTGTCACGTATGTCCGTAGATAAGGATAACAACAATATGAACACAAACAACGGGAGTCAGTATGGTGACCAAACCACACATCAAAAGATGATGAAACGACAACGTTTCGGTCCGTCTTGGAGCATTATCAAGTCATGCTCTGGTCATCATATCTTCACCCACGTTATTGTGACTCATTGGATAAGTTTAGATTTAGGAAAGACTTGGGTAAATACCGGTTCAGTAACAGGGTTGTTGATTTGTGGAACCAATTGCCGCGTAACATAGTGGAGGTGGGGTCCCTCGATTGTTTCAAGCGTGGGTTGGACATGTATATGAGTGGGATTGGGTGATTGTAGATGGGAGCTGCCTCGTATGGGCCAATAGGCCTTCTGCAGTTGCCTTTGTTCTAATGTTCTTATGGTCTGCGGGAGCCAGTAGCTTCGAGAGCAACAACGATAATGTTGAACACAACAGAAGCGTCGAGGAACAAGAAGACACTGATAGTACCCACAACGGCAACACTGCAAACAGATACAGAAACAGAAACGATGCCCGTTTCTCTGTTTACACATGAAAAACACCACTAAAGAAAATCTTTGCAAATGTTAAGGCAATGCGATATAGAGACGCAGCCAAAGGTGCAAAATGATATCCGCGTAGGTCTAAAAATGCTGGAGTAAGGTAGGGAGATCCCCCAGTTTTGGGGGTGTCCCAAATATTCACCCGAGATATCTCACCAGGATATCTCTAGTGAATATTATTATCAGGTGATATCCTGGCAAATAAATATTCGTCTGGATACCACCAGAGATATCCTGACAAACAGGATATATATAAATATATATATATATATATATATATATATATATATATATATATATATATATATATATATATATATATATATATATATATATATATATATGCGAACAAGCCTGAATGGTCCCCAGGACTATATGCGAATGAAAACTCACACCCCAGAAGTGACTCGAACCCATACTCCCAGAAGCAACGCAACTGGTAACTACAGGGCGCCTTAATCCGGATTAAGGCGCCCTGTAGTTACCAGTTGCGTTGCTTCTGGGATTATGGGTTCGAGTCACTTCTGGGGTGTGAGTTTTCATTTTCATATATATATATATATATATATATATATATTTATATAACATCTATCTGATAGACATCTATCGATAGACTTGTGATTTCCTTGGAGTGTCTTAAAATATCAGTTTTCCATTTATCTGTTTGTCTCTCTCACTGTACTTTCATAAGGCTTTTCTACCCCTAATCAGACTTTTAATTTTAATCTAACTTTCTCTCATCATATTCTCAATATTGATCATTTGTTTCGTTTTCTTTAACTTTCTCTTATCTGATTCTCTTTACACTTAATTGATCCTCAGCCTATCTCATTTTGCCCCATTACCTTTCTCTCACACCTCACTTTCCGTCACACTAAACTTTCGTACACTACTCATTTTTCTTTCTGTTTTCTCTTATCTTATCTCGCTTTCTTCTCACTTCGGTCACTTTCGCGGCGCCTTCCCAGGCCCACCATGATGGCGGCGCCATTTTCCCGGAAGCGAGGAGCCAGAGGCGGTGTGAGCCCCTCGCAGATTACACGTCTACTCAACAGGTTTATGTAAATAAAGCAACTGGCTCACAACCGTAGAGTCCCGAGTTCGATTCCCGAGGAAGAAGAGGCTTGACCAGACCACATACTAGAAGTTGAAGGGACGACTTTTTTTGGTCAACATACTTCAGCCACGTTATTGTGACTCGTCGCGTGCACAAGAAGAGGCGTTTGGCCAACGTTTCCTTACACCAGATGCCTCTGTTCACCCTACCAGTATATAAGTACCGGACAGCAGCACACCCTGGAGCAGGCAGATCCTCAGCCAAGGGGCCACCTCGAGAAAGGAAAGTATTCTTATCAGTACGTCAGTCTGCCCTTCCTACGAGACTGAGAGGTTATCTTGAGGTTATCTTGAGATGATTTCGGGGCTTAGTGTCCCCGCGGCCCGGTCCTCGACCAGGCCTCCACCCCCAGGAAGCAGCCCGTGACAACTGACTAACTCCCAGGTACCTATTTACTGCTAGGTAACAGGGGCAATCAGGGTGAAAGACACTCTGCCCATTGTTTCTCGCCGGCGCCCGGGATCAAGCCCGGGACCACAGGATCAGGAGGACGCCAGGGTGACAACGAAAGGGTTAGCAACACACCATTCATTATACCATTATATATACCATTATTTTCACCATATTATTATTACCATATACCAATATTATTATTATTATTATTATTATTACCATATACCATTATTATTATTATTATTAGTATTATTATTATTATTATTAGTATTATTACCATATTATATTATATATTATACCATTATATATACAGTATACCATTCATTATATAGGTTTATCGCACGTAAATCGCTCTCAGGGTAGACTAAAGTCTTGGAACTATTTATAAACCTTCGTCTAGACTTCCAAGCGAAACGTTGTTGAAATTATTGCTAAAATTACAAATTTTTACAAGCTGCAAATTTTGCCTTCAAATTAAACGTTATTTATGACCATTTAATAACTGTTGTAAAATGTTCTCCTTTTTCATCGCCAAACTCTGCAATATATAAGACAAATAACAGAAAATAAATACGTTACATTATCCAAGGAAACAATTTTGACTCGATAATCGACGAGCAATTTGGTCCAACCATGAAGATAACGGCCATGGAAGATGCAGATACATGTGGTGCTGGACCATGGAAGATGCAGATACATGTGGTGCTGGACCATGGAAGACACAGATACATGTGGTGCTGGACCATGGAAGATGCAGATACATGTGGTGCTGGACCATGGAAGGTGCAGATACATGTGGTGGTGGACCATGGAAGATGCAGATACATGTGGTGCTGGACCATGGAAGATGCAGATACATGTGGTGCTGGACCATGGAAGACACAGATACATGTGGTGCTGGACCATGGAAGATGCAGATACATGTGGTGCTGGACCATGGAAGGTGCAGATACATGTGGTGCTGGACCATGGAAGATGCAGATACATGTGGTGCTGGACCATGGAAGATGCAGATACATGTGGTGCAGGACCATGGAAGATGCAGATACATGTGGTGCTGGACCATGGAAGGTGCAGATACATGTGGTGCTGGACCATGGAAGATGCAGATACATGTGGTGGTGGACCATGGAAGATGCAGATACATGTGGTGCTGGACCATGGAAGATGCAGATACATGTGGTGCTGGACCATGGAAGATGCAGATACATGTGGTGCTGGACCATGGAAGATACAGATACATGTGGTGCTGGACCATGGAAGGTGCATATACATGTGGTGCTGGACCATGGAAGATACAGATACATGTGGTGCTGGGCCATGGAAGATACAGATACATGTGGTGCTGGACCATGGAAGATGCAGATACATGTGGTGCTGGGCCATGGAAGATGCAGATACATGTGGTGCTGGACCATGGAAGATGCAGATACATGTGGTGCTGGACCATGGAAGATGCAGATACATGTGGTGCTGGGCCATGGAAGATATAGATACATGTGGTGCTGGACCATGGTAGATGCAGATACATGTGGTGCTGGACCATGGAAGATATAGATACATGTGGTGCTGGACCATGGAAGATGCAGATACATGTGGTGCTGGGCCATGGAAGATATAGATACATGTGGTGCTGGACCATGGTAGATGCAGATACATGTGGTGCTGGGCCATGGAAAATACAGATACATGTGGTGCTGGACCATGGAAGATATAGATACATGTGGTGGTGGACCATGGAAGATGCAGATACATGTGGTGCTGGACCATGGAAGATGCAGATACATGTGGTGCTGGACCATGGAAGGTGCAGATACATGTGGTGCTGGACCATGGAAGATATAGATACATGTGGTGGTGGACCATGGAAGATGCAGATATATGTGGTGCTGGACCATGGAAAATGCAGATACATGTGGTGCTGGACCATGGAAGATGCAGATACATGTGGTGTTGGACCATGGAAGATGCAGATACATGTGGTGCTGGACCATGGTAGATACAGGTACATGTGGTGCTGGACCATGGAAGGTGCAGATACATGTGGTGTTGGATCATGGAAGATACAGATACATGTGGTGCTGGGCCATGGAAGACACAGATACATGTGGTGTTGGACCATGGAAGATACAGATACATGTGGTGTTGGACCATGGAAGACACAGATACATGTGGTGCTGGGCCATGGAAGACACAGATACATGTGGTGCTGGACCATGGAAGACACAGATACATGTGGTGTTGGACCATGGAAGATACAGATACATGTGGTGTTGGACCATGGAAGACACAGATACATGTGGTGCTGGGCCATGGAAGATACATAATACATGTGGTGCTGGACCATGGAAGACACAGATACACGTGGTGCTGGACCATGGAAGACACAGATACACGTGGTGCTGGACCATGGAAGACACAGATACACGTGGTGCTGGACCATGGAAGACACAGATACACGTGGTGCTGGACCATGGAAGACACAGATACACGTGGTGCTGGACCATGGAAGACACAGATACACGTGGTGCTGGACCATGGAAGACACAGATACACGTGGTGCTGGACCATGGAAGACACAGATACAAGTGGTGCTGGACCATGGAAGACACAGATACACGTGGTGCTGGACCATGGAAGACACAGATACATGTGGTGCTGGACCATGGAAGACACAGATACACGTGGTGCTGGACCATGGAAGACACAGATACATGTGGTGCTGGACCATGGAAGACACAGATACATGTGGTGCTGGACCATGGAAGACACAGATACACGTGGTGCTGGACCATGGAAGACACAGATACATGTGGTCCTGGACCATGGAAGACACAGATACACGTGGTCCTGGACCATGGAAGACACAGATACACGTGGTCCTGGACCATGGAAGACACAGATACACGTGGTGCTGGACCATGGAAGACACAGATACACGTGGTCCTGGACCATGGAAGACACAGATACACGTGGTCCTGGACCATGGAAGACACAGATACACGTGGTCCTGGACCATGGAAGACACAGATACACGTGGTGCTGGACCATGGAAGACACAGATACACGTGGTGCTGGACCATGGAAGACACAGATACACGTGGTCCTGGACCATGGAAGACACAGATACACGTGGTCCTGGACGATGGAAGACACAGATACACGTGGTGCTGGACCATGGAAGACACAGATACACGTGGTGCTGGACCATGGAAGACACAGATACACGTGGTCCTGGACCATGGAAGACACAGATACACGTGGTCCTGGACCATGGAAGACACAGATACACGTGGTCCTGGACCATGGAAGACACAGATACACGTGGTCCTGGACCATGGAAGACACAGATACACGTGGTCCTGGACCATGGAAGACACAGATACACGTGGTCCTGGACCATGGAAGACACAGATACACGTGGTCCTGGACCATGGAAGACACAGATACACGTGGTCCTGGACCATGGAAGACACAGATACACGTGGTCCTGGACCATGGAAGATCCACATCCACGGGGACGCAGAACGTTATAACAGGGAAAGACCTGCTTCATAACTAGAACCAAGCAACATGTGTATCTTGCACACGTTATAAGACAGTGTCTGGCTGTCAAAGGTTCGATGCCAGATGCCTTACCAAACTTTGCTGAGTGAATCATCCCGGGTACGGGACGGACATAGGCTGGTCGGGGTAGGTCCTACTGGACCTTTATAGAGAGGGGTTGGCCGTAATAGTATCCCCACCACCTTATTGGTGGAAGGTGGCTGGACGAGTCCCTAGATATCTTCACTTGAAATTGATAATACTTTATTACCTCTCGTGTGCTTGAGGATATCCTCATAGTGCACCCAAAATTTGCCAGTGCAGGCTAATGAACACATGGCCCTGTATGACTAACCATCCTGCGAGATGGTGACTTTTAGTATCTTGTTCACTACGTTATTCACTCTTGTGTTCATGATGCAGGCAGAATTTGCCAGGTCAAATAAGCACCAGTAAATTAAATCGAAACAATGCATGACAACAAAACATAAATACAGAAAATACAAAATATGGGAAAAATCTTAAAAATATGAAGGTCAAATAATATAATAAAAGGAAAAATCAGGCACAAAATACAAAATTAAATTGGAGTGGAAAAACTGGCGTGTCAAAAGCTGAGGGCACAAATTGGCGAACGTAAATAATTATAAAAATAAAATTAGGAAGCGATAAGATGGGAAGAAGAGTGCGGAGGAAATAGGGAAGACTGGAGCCCGTAGTTTGGGTTGGTGAAGGTAGTTTGGCCGTGAAACTATCGACCGTGGCGACCTTGTCTACCCAGGTGTGCGGGTGATGGGGGAGCGGAAGGTCGCCCCAGATAGGGGATAGGTAAGCTACTAGGTAATGTATTCACCTAGTTGTATTCACCTAGTTGTGTTTGCGGAGGTTGAGCTTTGCTCTTTCGGCCCGCCTCTCAACTGTCAATGAACTGTTAC